AGTATAGAACATATTTGTAGGAATAAATAATTAAAAATTAAAAACAAAAATCAAACCATTTTGCATGATCCGTTCTTACATCTTTTCAATTACAGTGTAGTATCCATGGATTTTATAGACTATCACGACACATATATCAAACAATTATTCTGGAAATGTTTTGGCATTAATTTCCTTTTTCCAACTTTCAGACACTAGTGATCGAAAAATAAAACAATGATGTAATTTTGACATTGGATATAAATACTTAAAAGGAGTATATTTTAAAACAAAACAGACATATACAATCTATGATTACTCAATGACCCGAAATTGAAGAGTTAGACTGTTTTATCAAAACGAGTACAAGATTATTTTTGTATTTGTACGACTTGTTTTTAATTGTGTAGCTCTGAGGTGAAAAAATTGTGTTCTTTTTCTATAACATGGTTTTGTACGTACAGAGGAGGAGACGAACGATGAAAACGGCGATGTTACAAACTCTCAACGGTAAGCACTTCTTGTTCTATAATTGGAATATTGACGTCCTTTGTCTGTTTTTGAAGACAACTTCAACTAGACTTAGGTCTATAGTTCATTAGGGAAAATGAAAAATACATATATACACTAAATTGTAATTGCATGCGGTACGCTATTCTTGGTTCGATTATCGGTTTCAACAAATTTTATTGAGCTAACAAAAGGAGTAGACAACAGGCAGTGCCTATATAAGTCTTCTCCTGACAGTTCGATTATCATTCAGGTATGGGTTCTATATTTATCAATAGTGACGATAGTACCGGAGTACTATTTCTGTTTTTCAATCGTTTCTACATAATTTTATATTCTGTTAAATCTTAAATCGAGTATCGATTGATTTGGCGATAGATACCAGTAACGAACTGTAAGTAAATAAATGGCTTATTTGTTTTCTGAATTGTAAATATACTGTTCATTTAAGAACCCTTGTAAGCGATTACTTCCCTAATGATCAGCTAATGAGACAATTATAGTAATTATTCTGCATATATATTTTTTTCTAATTTATATAAAGATATAGGCAAACCAAACAGCTGTATTACCTATACAACTGTACAATAAGGATCGCGTTGATTTGTTCATCTAATAATGATAATAATAATAATAAACTTTATTTATTGTGGATTAAAAAACCTGATTTAGCCAAAGGCTAATCTCCCACAGGGTCTTCTATGTTAGTAAAATGTGCTAGTGTTTATAAAGTATTTCTTAAAACATAGTAATATAAATTAAACATAAATGACATCTAAAATATAAGTTATGAGATTGCAGAAAATATTACATGCCATTATATAGTACAATACATCAAATATCACAGAAAGCATAACTCTCGTGCCTTGAAGGTCTAGTAATAGTTAAATGGCCGGAGCCTTACATACATATATGCTAATATAGCAAAGTATAAAAATTACCAGGATATACGCTTATATAGCATAAATTAAAAACTGTTTTCTTTATCTTAAAGTATGAATCACAGTAGTGCCTTATAGCTCTATGCTGTTTGATACTGTTTGATACGACGGAGTAGCCCTAATCCACAACCTACCCTCTTCAGAATGAAATTTATATGTTCTGAAAACGATAAGTGGTGGTCTAATTTTACTCCTAATTTTTTTTCAGTCTCTACCTGTTGTATTTTCTCATTTTTAAAAGTCAAATTTAGTTCATTTTCATTTAATTTACAGCGCCTCTGTTTAGTTATTAAAACCATACATTTTGTCTTATCTACGTTGACAATAATTTTATTTTCAGAACCCCAGTCTTCCACTTTCTTTAAATCATGTTCTAATTTCGCTCTGACAAAATCAACCGTTTTACCAGAAGCAGACAGTGTAGAGTCTAAATATTCCGCTTTAAATACGTTTATTTAAAAAAAAAAAAAAAAATCATTAAATGAGGCATTTTTTTTAGTTTAAGGATTACCGTGCCTACTGCCAAAAAGTTAAGGTGTAATTTTAAAATAGATTTTTTACCGACATGACAATATTTTTCATAAATTATTCATGAAAAAAAATCTAACCTCTAACCTTACGGAACTGTTTTGAAAAAAAAATAAAGATTGAATAAGCAAAGCAAAACCTGAGAGTAAATAGAAGTTGGGCCCGACCGGGATTCGAATCCTAGACCTCCGATCACAAGACAGTCACTCAACACAAGGGAGCTACCGATCAATGGAGGCGACCTATGAATTAGGTTATGATATATAAGAATTCGAATTATTATTATTATTATTATTAATGATAGTTTCGTGCCTCAATCTCGCTACTGTCATCATTCGGCTAACCTCGGCTTATTCCAGTACCGAACTCTCTAGTGTTTCATTTGTAGTGTAACAGTGATCCTTAAACAAGAAGTTGTATCGTTTATAATACACTCAATTTATTAAAGGTTCTGAATAATAAACTCGTCAAATTACCTCTCGGTCAAACACCTAGACACGCATTTTAATGTCACCGCGTGCAAAAGGAAACAACCATCCGGTGAACATTTGGGCAATATCCGTATTCATCTGTACACGAAAACTGCCGAGAGCAAGTGCATCTATGCATGACGTGATTTGATTGGTGTCTGGCTGATAGTACAATCGATCTGATTGGTGGTTGATGCATGACGAAAGTCATTTAGATATTCAAGTAGCCAAAGGGTTTCATGGTTTTCTGTTATATATTTCAAAAGCGATTTGTCTGAGATACGATCTAAGTCCCGATGGCGCTTGTTCTATCAGCTTTAGATATTCCCCTGCCCTTCCCAGTCGGTTACAAATAAACGAAATGCACCAAACCTTATGTCAACCATGCATTTTTAGGAAGGCGTTGCTACAACCTAATATTTTAATATCAAACAAACAAAAACAAGTATGCAGAAACATATATTTCAGAGACCAGGATTCGTTTGTCTGTAACTATTTTAGGCGTCGAATTAACTCAAAAGTCGTTTTTACATAATGTAGACCTGTCTATAGAGATCAAGCTTTTGTCAAGATCACGTGTATGTCCATAAACAACTTGTCTATAAAGATCATTTGTCCATAAAGAATACCTGTATATAAAGAGCATTTGTCCATAAAGAATACCTGTCTATAAGTAATACATGTCCATGGAAATCAACTGTCTTTAAACGTCACTTGTATGTAACTACCTACCTATACAAACACCTGTCTACAAGGATCACCTGTATGTAATGCTCACCTATCTGTAAATACGACCTGTCTATAAAAAATGTCTAAACAGAAAACGTGTCAGTAAAGGATTTTTCTATACCGTATGGTTTATATCTGTAGAGGAAGTGTACACTATAAAATAGCAGGGACCTAAAAATATGTTACAGCTATATTTGGACCTAAACTGAGGTTTTGATTGTAATTTTACACGTTTTGTGGGTTTAGATCACTTTTTGGTCAAATTGCTACCCGTAAATATTGTATATTTGACTAGAGGGTAGCATGTTTTACCGAAAATTGATGTATACCCCTAAAACGTGTAAAATTACTCTGAACACCTTAGTTTAAGTCAAAATATAGCTGTAACAAATCCCCAGGTCTCTTTGTATTAAAGCTCTTTTGTTTCGTAGAGAATATCCACGGTTTCGTATATTTATAAACGTAATACATGTACTTTGTACGTGTATATGGTACATAAATGCCGTGAATAAACTTGAATTGGGGTCAGTTCTTGAATGTACTGGAATCGGGGTCAGTGCTTAAAATTTACTGGAAAATAGTTATATTATGGTTTAGTACTTGAATTTTCGTCAATATTTCTGGAAGAGTCTGGGAATCTGAGTGAAAATGCTGGAAAAGTTCGCCCTGAAAAGTCTGTTTGAACTGTGTAATCATCTTAACAACTTACATACAATAGAGACATAGAACAAAGATAGATAAAAAAAGCATTTTCACGCCCCGAGAAATCGCCGCTATCAACGTTAAGAATCTCACGATCTGCCTCAAGGGTAGGACACTACCATCGGAATACGTAATCCGTCGGTGTGACACATTGCACACCTACATCGCCGTTACTTAAGGGTTCCCGCACCACTGCAAAATTTATAACTATATATATATTTTTAATCTTTAAAAGCTTTAATGATTCATCTTCTAATCGAAAGCCATATTTTTCCGTGGAAGCTCTGTGAAAAAGTAACAAAGATGAAATAAACAAACAAAAAAGATTCAACAAATGTCCAGAGAGTAAAAATTGCAGCAGGGTAGGCCTGTATTCAGACTCTGGACCTCCGATCATTACGTGTAAACGGTCGCTCTACCGACTGAACCACCTGCCCTGCAGTAGTTTCCTGACTCAGCCCGAATGCAGTTCTACAGTGTTTTGTCTATTGTGGGACAGGGATACTAATGCATTTTCGTTACTGCAGTACAAAGGTTTCTTTGAAATGGCATAAACGAAACCAACACGATGATAAACAACAAATGTGGATAAAAACAATAACTTTAAAGCCTATTATTGTAAAAAAAACTTTTATTTAACAATAAATGAATACATTGTGTTAATGTATTCGTATGAATGAAACGCGAGAATATCTTGTAATAAGCAATTCATGTATTTCTGAAAAGATTATAATACTGTGTTTTTTTTTAAACTGTTTTTTGCGAATCCAATATTTTGCAAATACGTCGTTTGAAAAGTAACTCTAAAATGTAAAATAAAGTGAAAAGATTAATGTCAATGTCTTTGAGGACAAATGTTTAAATGGTTATCGGGGTTATGTAAGAAGCCCGGCAATTGCAGATATTGCATATATGTAGCAGTATTGCAGTATCATAAAAGCATTTGTAATCCTGAAATGCATGTAACACTGTACACTATGACATGATATGGAGTCCAGAAATGTTATGGCTGAGTGATCACAATTCTGTTATCATCTTGATCATCTGAATTGCCTTCCAGATTCACTGACCCGTGCATATGACCTACTGTTAGATTTAAGATAACATTTCTTTCATATTTACCTATCACAGTTATAAGAAAATGGCTTTTTAAACGACACAGCTGTATGCCGTTGTATCACCAATGCAATGTTTGTTTCCTTTCTTGAGAAAGTAAAGCCATGATATTTCGAAGGTACGAATATCAGAGGCGTCTTGGAAGATTTGTTAGGATAGCTGTAGTGTTGTGATGAAAGTGTTGTGGATCTCCATTCTAGTTCTTGGTCTGTATGCTGGATATGTATATACGGAGGAGACGAACGATGAAAATGGCGATGTTAAAAACTCTCAAAGGTAAGTACTTCTTGTTCTGTAATATAATACAGACGTCCTTCGTCCGTTTTTGCAGACTACTCCCTCCAGACGCCATGCGTCCGATTTTGCAGACAACTCCAACTAGACCGAACAATTAAGTCTTTGAAACGTTATTTTGTTGTATTTAATTTCAACATTTCAGATTTTTTTTTAAAAAATTTGTCTCTATCTTTTTTTTTCTTTCCTTTTTATTTATTTATCGTATCAGATAATAAATAGATGTAACGACACCGGCATATCACATTCCAAGTTTCCATGAGTTTGTTCCACCTTTGTATATCACTTCGACTATTCTTGCCAAGGTCAATATTGTGATGTAATTTCTTCACTGTTGTTGAAAAATACATTAAAAGACTAACAAATGGCCTACCATTAACGATGACTCATGAAATAAAATTAAGATTGCCTAACAAGGATAAGAGCTCTCGCTTAGTTATTGTACGCTAAGCCATGACGTTCGCAATACTAGCTTTGATTCTGCCTATTTCGTCGCTTGATTACCTGGCTTTTATGTTTTGACCGTCTAGTATAATACCTATGTTTGGCTTGGTTTTGTTTTATTTTGTTTGACGTCCTATTTACAGCTTAGGTCATTTAAGGACGCGCCTCCATGTGTGTCATATAAGCGTGCATGTGTGTATGTTTGCAGGAGGCAGCGGGTATGTTAATGTACTTGCCTCCTTGCGGATCTGATGCCGACTCTAACGTGCTATCTCACTGAAACACCACGCCGAAGGCACCCAGCACAGCATTCCGCCCGGTGACATTATACTGACAACGGAGAAAAAGTTGCTGCTGTTACCCCCAATGCTAAACGTTAAGCAAGGAATAACAACTATCATTTTTAACGACTTTGGTATGTCCCGGCATGGGGACAGAACCAATTGCCTTCCTCGCTTTCGCTCAGAACGCTCAGAAGCGAGGAATTGCCAAGCAAAGCGCTAGGAAATAACAGGTTGTTAGAAGTTGAAAAAAAATTAAGATCCAATGTTGCAATGGGTAGAGCAGACTTTTTTTGGTCGCTTTTGGGTCCCAAAGTAGAGGGCACAAATTCCCGCATTAGTCGCCTCTTACGATACATGCAGTGAATAATAGCAGGCATATTCTTTTCCCGAACCCCGACCTGCATTCAGTCTATTGAGAACCAGTGATAAAGTAGCGCTGGTTCTATCTGTAACAAACTTGGTTAGGGCGATAGTAACAAAAGCCATCCAACAGATGTTTTTAGTTGAACATATTTTTGTTTGCATGCATAATGCAATGCACAATAGGACAAGTTGTCCCACTTCTATAAAGCCTTTTCCCATCAAACATCTTATAGCTCACGAATCTAACTTGATAATTGTGTTGAAGAATTCAACACAAGGCCTGCGAAATTTTGTCAAATATCTTAGGACTAGACCTACAACTAAAAGCTAATTCAGTGAAACAATAGAACTTCCCACTCTAACATACACCCTAGAGATGCCACAAATCATGTGAAATAGGGATCAACTTAAATGCATCAGTAATGTTTAACTTGCTTTGCTGTTGTTTTCAGATTCCTCATAGTATTATCTATCTTTGAATATTTAAGAGAGTATTTTGATTGGCTATGAGGTCGTTACTGCTATCTCTAAATACATAACTAATCATTTCTTTCCTGAATATTTTACCTGAAGTTTTTCCTGAGTGCAGCTACGCTAGTATAATCCCAGGGTCGGACTAGTAACGATTAGGAATAGTGTTCTCAGAATAGGACCGGTAAGGTGTAGGGTGCCATGTTTCAGTGTAATCATTGCTGCCAGTGTCTCTCTGTTCTTGCTATCTGGCACCAAGAGGCAGCAGCTGATGATAATGGTATTACACTTTGTATGACGTCATAAGATCACACTGAGGACATGAGATCATGCTAATGTCATCAGATCACAAAAAAGTTATAGGATCACATCAAGGTCATCAGATCATATGGTAAAGGTTATCATGTAACATAAAGATCATGAGGTCAAATTGACCTGAAGAACATAAGGTCTAATTGAGGTAATCAAATCCATTTACACCAATTAAAATATTCAAAGTACATAACTGACTGTTTACGACATGGAAACAAACGTGGACAGGCTAATCGGCCTCATTTCTCGAACCTTTTTTTTCAAACTCCTAAGCGGCGCGAAGCGCCGCAAGGGTTTATATGTAAACATTTTGTCTACTTCCGGTTCTTCCCCGTGCGTGAAAGCCTTTTGGGTAATTGAGGCCGCTTCCTATCTACAAAAATATGATAGTAAACCTCTGCGATATCCGAACTTATTACATTTTACAAGTGAAATATCATGAAATCTCTATTTGATAAAAACATTTTTGCAATGGGGTAAGCATACACGAAATAGAATATCTTCACACGTGAAGAAATTCCCCTTAATATTGTCCAGTCAAAACGGTATATTTTATTCACTATGTAGGATTTCAGTTTCAAGTTTATATGAATCGACGGCAGATAAGTGGTTGTGTAGTTCCATCTTTGCAACATACATTATGTTTTTTACATAAATACACAATTTTGTTTAGAAATCTTACCAATCTTCCCTTGAGAAACTCATTCAAAATGGCGCTCTATATAGTTGTCAAGTGTGACGTTATTAGAACCTGGCGTCAAAAATAACGCTACAAATTCCTGCGCTTTTCTGATGTGGCAATAGTTGAGTACGCACGATATGAAGAAAATATAATAAATAGAAAATATAAAAGTTTCCCGTTTTATAATATATACTATTCTAGTATGGCCCTTTCCTGATGGAACTGTTCACTTATAGTGTCGTCTGGGGAGGTATAGTGCCCGAGCCGTGAGGCGAGGGCACTTTACCTACCCAGACGACACTATAAGATAACTGTTACCGAGGGAAAGGGTCATAATAGATTTAGTACATCCCATGACTGTCATTCTCTCCACATGATTGTCCTTGAAAATACCGCCGAAAACCTTGCCTGACGGCAATAAGAGATCTTTTTGAGTAGATCTCTCCTTTTTTATTGCGTATATTGGCAAAGAAATCCACCAAAACTTTCCTTTTTTCTAGGAACGCTGGCGAGCGCGTTTCGATCCCAATTTCTTCGAGAAAAAGGAGAACATCAAGAAATCCTCGGTCAAGGATGAGGATATCTTCCTGTTTCACCCATTCAGATATACCATCTGTATTTGTCTAAAACATGTGCTGTGTTATTGCCGCGTCATTGTTTCTACCGTTAGCGAAGTAAGGACCGAGAACACTTACTATGTAGCCATATGTTGTCGTGACCATCATGGGTTTTATCAAGGCGGTACTTATGCATAGAGAAACATTTCCTTTGAAAACTGTGCTTACTGCTTTTTTGTATGTATAAATATGTTCTATCCACGATGAGAATGACTGAATCTGAGATGATGTTGGAAAATAATTGAACGGCTAAATCGGTTGTATGGATTTTAAGGATGTCTGATCCAACGATATGTTGAAATTCTAGGTGCGATGGTACGAAATCCTTTTTCAAAGCCTTCTTTGCTGCTGCGATGTAATGAGCTAACTTCCGCCTGCTGCTGATTCCACATAATGTTGCAATTACCCTAAAGTTAAAGAAACGTGTCAACATCAGGATGATTTAACCCAGATTGATACATAAACATTTGGTTAAAATAGGAAGTGTACAATATGATTCGGTATAGTACATGTACATGAACCGATATTTTTATACATTACTTCAGGTTGGTAAGTAGTGATTAGCGTATGCACACAAAGGAGTAAAATGTGGTTGAGTTTTCCACACAATCGATGTCGATTCGGCTACGTTGTAAGCGTATGTACAATAATATGTTGTATTGTGTAATTGATCATCTGTCATATTCATGTTGTCAAAATCAATTTCGTGTGTGTTTACCGCAACATTACCGAGTCCCGTAAGAAGAACGGTTAAATCATCTGTGGTCATCTTTGAATTAGATTCCAATGCCGTCATATCTACTGTTACCCCTTGTTTCAGTATTTGGCAATGTAGGTGTGACTTGCAGCATCGTGTTCCCTGGGAAATCAAAACACCATGACTGACAAAGACCTGCAAACTTGCCTCTGATGGAACATTTGTCACACACATCTTGATTTGGTTCTTCCAGCACCTTGGAATGGCAAATAACATATGATGTTGGAACGGGATGCCTTACATGTGTATTGCACTCCTTATTTTGTGTTGCAGTCTTCCCGCATTTCTAGCAAATGAGTCTGTCCTCGCTGATAAGTTTTCCCGCATTTTCGGTAAAATATTTCCGATAACAATAGTTCATTTTTCTTGCTTGGCCTTTTTTTTTATTCTGACTCAACAAATCCCACATATTTGGTATTTCGGCATTATTTGTTGGTGTTTGAGCACTAGATATAAATAGTTTGCCAGTTGGAGGGTCAAACAGTTCATAAATTTCATCAAAAATAGTGTTTTACCTTCAAAGCGTAGCTGTACTGTATACGTGTACAGGGATTTGTTGACATGCTTCGATAGAAGTATGTCGCACTAAATAGTAACGAAATTATTACTTACAAAACTAATAAATCAATAGGCATGTTATTAAAACGTAAACAAAATATTCCATCGATCTGAAAAACAAAATATTGCTTTATTAAGGAAAATGATCACATGCCGAAATATTTAAAAAAAAAAAAAAAAAAAAAATGAGGGAGGATTCGAACCTGCACCGTTTATCTTTTAGTCACAAGTAAACTACGTTAAAAACTCGGCTACATAGAACATATAGATATTGACTTTTAACATATTTTATTAACCAGAATTGGAAAATAGGATTTGCAGAAGTTATTACAACTTCTGAAGCCATCTCCTTACAACAATAATTCAAAACAACAGATGATGATATAGACTGTCAATTACAATTCATAGTAGTATGAAGCGATTTTTAAAGTAACACATACACATACAAACAAACAAAAACAAAAACATATTTAAAAGTCAAGTTCATAATCGAA